TATACATTATATATATTATATACAGTTCAATTACATATTCATAGTAAATATCTTAATGGTTCATAATAAATAATAATAATTTACATTTAAACGATGCACTGCGAGAAAAATTCCTCGTGAATAGGTTTTAGAAGGTAAAATACCAATATAATGTGCCCGAGTCTGCGCAAACGCTCCCAAGATGAACCCTTATTCCGCTAAATGTATAGGCTACAGGGACGTCAGTGCGGATGCGAGTAAAACAGAAGCAGGACGCGTTACGCTCATTGCAGTAGGCATTTCAGACGTTATCAATATGAATGCTGATCATTTTCATATCAGCTGGTAAATATAATAAACATTTTTTGCTCATTATTAATTTGTTACTTGTTAGTTAGTATCTATGGTAATTAGTAAGTAATTAGGCTTATAATATAATTTGCCTATAATACGTACAGTATAGTTATTATAATGTTGATTGTTGTTTGTAACAAGTCAACTTAAATAGATTAATAGGTTTTAGGTACCTAAGTACTGTAGTACTTACTACCTACTGAATAATACAAATTGCTGTGTATTTTGTATGTTATTATTTTTTTCATACTATTTAGGTTCCATAGTAATATTGATAAATTATAATCAATGCTACAATCACTTTTTGATAATTGGATATTATACAGGTAGACTCAACACTCGTTAACTGCAGCTTATGGTTTTTGATAATTGTAATTTTCTTGTTTATATTTATAAGCAAGAAGTGTAAAAATATTATCAATATTAATTTATTATACTTTATACTTTATAGTATTGTATATGTATTATTTTCAGTTGATTCTCTTTTCACATATAATAATATAATAAATTATGTTGAACTGATATTTTTCTTCAGTTTTTGACGTTATCCTAATAATATTATTAATAATAATAATAATAATAAGAATAATGTGTTAAAAAAATATTCCCTTCTACATTTATAAATGTAAATAAATAAAAAAAAGTTGTATTTTCCAATGAATATGTAAGTGTGATGACGTATCTAGTATCTACTATTTTATTAACATAATATCTGCTCAATATCCGTCATTTATCATATCGTCATTAATGCTCGAAATAAATTATCTTATGTGTAAATTGTACACTATAATATTATATTACAACTGTATGTATGTATATTATTAATAATTATAAATTTGCATGTATACCGTGTACCTAATTAAAATAATGGTTGATATTGGTATGTAATTTACAGTTATTACGTTTAGTTTGTGTTAAAGAAATTACAAATTTAATTTATGTTAGTGTTTCAGTTAGCAAAACCACGACATTTTAGATTCTAAAAAAGATTAAAGATTCTAACTTTCTAATACATTTTTGTAATCCTATTTATACGAATAGCACAGAAGGTTAGGCCATGTATACCATACTATGTAGGTATTATGTATATATAATATATTATATTTAATAAAATGTACATCAAAATATTGAATATTTACCTTAAATTTATATTTAGCTGGTTGATAATTGAAATAAGCCATTTTTTTATTTTCTCATCACAGTTGCCTATAAAATAGTATAAATAAATGATTTTAGAATTTGTATAAATAGTTCGTATAAATTAATTTGTAACAATTGGATCATATTGTATATACATATAAGATTATGTATAACATGTTCTATAATGAACATTTTAAAAATGCTTAGAAGGTTAAGTATAATGTTGAACATAATTCATCGAAAGTATTATCAAGACATACTTTGTAGTTTTTAATATTCATTACTATACAATATATAGGTATAACTTCAAAAGAATATGATTTGTTAACTTAACTCTTAAGTTTATGATTATAGAGTACTATAGAATAGCCAAGCCTAGGTGGTATACTATAGGCTAGTATATTACTAAATTGATAATGAATATGCTTGTTAAGTGCCCAAGTAAAGTGTTAGCTTTTAGTTTAAGCAAATCGAAACAATATTTGAACTTTTCCCACTATATTACTCATATTTTATGTTTTATACCTACTCACAGCCTGAGCTCTGACTAGAGTATTTTTATGCATGGCTTTACCTCTATTATTTTTTTTCAACTAAATTTCGATTAGCTTTCTCTATTAAGTCAGTACGACAGTACATTTTTATTTTATCTATAGATTTATAACGATCGAAAAAACGATAATCGTGTACAACACGTATTTGCTGTTGGAATGTCTGATAAGTACTCTATATATTTTAATAAAACGTCCTATTTAATATTTAAAGTTATTTTTAAAATAAGACACTTATTACTTATTATTACTACTCACCACTTACTTACTTTCTAAGTCAATTATTATTATTACGGAAAGTTATGATACTTGTCTCGTAAATTATTTAAGCTTACAAATTTTTAATTTTTTTTTTTTTTGGTACACGTATAATAGTGTTTTAGTTCTTTTTAGACCACAACCTAATAATTATTAATTTAATATTCTGAAACACTTTTTTTCTGAAATTGTCAATGTAATACAATCAATTTCTTAAGACGTATCAAGCACGAAATGCAATAAAGCAACAGGATATGTTCCTTGTAATCGTGACCACTCGAATAGAAATCCCCACTCGTCGATTATCTAAACTTTGGATGTGTAAACTTTATACATACTTATTACCTATAGAGCTTAAAAAAATACTAAAGAAAAACAATGTTAGAATATAATATACCTAGTATTTTAGTCTTAACCAATCAAAACGTTTTTTCGAGACATATCTGAATATTATTTGGAGAGTTTTGAATTAAAAAAACCACATAATATCCCACTTATGATATGATCTAATATGATCTGGTCGGTCAGCCTCATTGTGGTTTACGGGTACCTATATTAGTTATAGAAACATATTATATTAAAATAATATTTGTGACGACGTATTGTTATAGAACAAACATAGTATTTTTCGTAAGGCCGTTTTAATAATATTAAATACTGAGTGGTATACGATACAAGGATACTCGCTGTGAACTCCATTTCGAACAGTTCATTGCAGTGTGCGTTACAGCGCGTAACGGTAAAATCAACCTCCGCCAGGCTTCGCGCCACGATAAAATATCGTTGACCCGATAAATTTAAACACATCGCGAGCGCGAGTTGTTAACAGACTATGTTAGTCGTTGCGTGTATATTGTTGAGTTGTAGTTGATTATTGTGCCTTAGATCAATTCGTTTTTCGACATTTTTGATGCTACGTGAAAACGTATTATAATAATGTACGCACTTGTATATAGTTATTATAAATATTATGTTGTGTTAACCATGGTTGGTTAACGTCTAACATATCGCCAACAAAGCAAATTGGTTCACTTACAAGTTACAATATTATATAAGTACTAAATGAAAAAATTAGTTTACCATTCGTTATAATTTGTGTTTCTGATCAATATAAATTACAAATTATATATTTTTACCAGTATTCATTATAATAAAATATATTAAATAAAAAAAGTTGAGTAAATAATACTGTTTAGTAAATAGTAATAAACTCACTTATAATATATAATAATTCTTTATATGATAATGTATTATTTATATTTTATGTATATTATAAGAAAAAAATATTGATAAATATTTTTGAATGTTTTAATACAGTTTATGTAGAATCTGATTTCATAATATCCAATGATTTTGTTACGTGACTGTTAAAAAAACTATAGATTATTTAAGTTTTCAAATATTTTAAAGATTTCATTAATAACATTATAATAATTTGTTTTCTCTGTTACCTTGCATTATATAATTTATCAGTTCGATTTAATATACAAATTATAATACACAATTAAACGTAGGTACATAAGGTAATATATATAACATATAGCTTCAACTTTTTTAAGATTCTAGAAGTCCATTTTTCATTTATAGTTGAAATTATATACTAATTTACTATATATTTAAAGTTCTTCACATATTTATATTTCATACCCAATCAGTCAATCAATTTTATAATATACCGATACTGCAGGTTATACATCATGCATCTGTATGTTACGTCATAATAATGATAATAGTAATTTATTAAACTTATAATTCCAGGTTAATGTTACTCAGGATTAGTATCGTTGTATTTAATATATCATTATATTATGTTTAATGTGTATACTTAATATATATACAATATACATTAGACCGACGACCTACCTAATTATTAATTATATTTCCGTAACTTGTTAAGCAACACTGCACCTAAGAGTTAAGACTAAAAATTCATTTATAATTTTAACATAGTTTGTTGACTGATTGGGTATGAAATATGTGAAGAACTATAAATATCTAGTAGTATATAATATATTAAATTGTTAGTTGTTAGCATATAATTTCTACTATAAATTCAAATTGAACTTCTAGAATCTCAAAAATGTTGAAGCTATATATTATATATATACTACCTTATGTACATACGCTTAATCGTGCATTATAATTTGTATATTAAATCGAACTGATAAATTATGTAATGCAAGGTGACAAAGAAAACAAAAAAAGAACAAACTTAGGCCTATTTATAAATCATAACAGTGTATGATATTATACCTACAGCCAATTATGTTAAATATATCTATTATTAACAGTGTACAATATAGTAAACAATGAAGTTAATACATATTTTCATATTTTAAAACAGTTTTTAAATAATAAAGTATGTATATACAATGTACCGATAACCTATGGAATACGGAAGACATCGGAATAATGTGGCGTAATTTTAAGGGAAAATTGTTCAAGGGATCAGAAAGATAGAATATATTTAGTGAAGAGAAAGAATTTAACTAATTATTACCAATTTGAAATTTGCGTGACATAATTATAAAGTATTTTGTATTAAATTAGTTATCACCATAATCAATGGGCTCTTTCAATCTTTCATAAAGTATATTATAATTTATAATGGCATAATGGTTAATTGAAGAAGAAAGTGGACACGCGCACGCATGCTACTATTGCCGGTACCTACCTAATGATAACGCAGTGGTGGGAAACCAGTTCAGATACGACAAACCCGAGTTTTTTGAGTCAGTCTCGATTCAGACTCGAATGAGTCGTCGTTTTATGTCAGATTGTTGAGCTTCAAAAAACAACATTATTAACGAGTATCGGGTAGAATTGCCTATGCAAAATCAAGAAACGATTAACCAAAGACAAATTTAAAGGTATTATAAACAATTTAATATTATTATAACACAAACATTTAAAATATTTTTATTTTCTTGAACATATTTTTTCATATTAATTTTTCTTTTTACATTTGTCTTATTACCTAGGTACTATAAATAACTTTATATTTAAGTCCAAAAAATAATTTCCTTTATTTTAAATTGAGCAAATTGTATTTATTCTTCACTTCACACCATTATTAAAATAATATTTCTGCAGAGTACATTTTAAAAGTATAATTTTTCTACATAAAACTATAATTCATTAATAGATGATTAATAATTAAAAATAATAATAATAATTAATGATTTCGATGCACCAATTATTAATATTTCTTTATACATTCTATAATTCTCTTTATATATTTTCAAACCGATATAAATTACTTAAAAACGAGATTATATGAAGGTTGTATTTTGAGGGAAATCGTGTGAGAATATGTAAGGTCTTGATAAAAAAATCAGTTGGTTATTATTTACTAATTTCAAGTGTATAACGAAAATTGATCGTCTTTACCATAATATCATCGTTATTATTATTATTTATTACAATATTACCTGTTATTATAATAACAAAAACATGGTTTTCTATAGGTGCCTATTATATACATAAATATTATTTACTATTTAGTATTTTCAAATTTTTGTCTTACCTGTGATCTGCGTGTTTGTCCAAGCATGTTTTTAATGTTTTTTTCGTATGTTTAACTATAATGTATTTAAAAAAAGTTAAATTCTTTATTTATTTTTAGTATTATGATGCCATGTATTTTCAATATGAAAATATAAGTAGTATATTTTTGTTTAAAATTTGTGTAATGCATAGCATTACAAACATAAAAAAGTGAAAATATATAATATTTTTTTAAAGTTTGGTTTAAATATTACACGGGTAAATTCAAAATTAATAAAATAATATTTAATGATTTCAAGTAAGCAAACCAAAAAACAATATTTTAAAATTATAGATAATTAAAAAGAAACAAATCATAAAGAATGAGGAGAATAGTTATTTCTCGGAACTAACACCGTGAGGTATCCCCTATATAATAAACGATGATGGCCAGCAAACCGATAACCGGGTTAAGCGCCGTCGTTTCTCTGTACGTACGGTCGCGTGCCTTCCTCATAATCTTCGAGTCATCATCGGTATTTCCTTAGACGTCCGGTCTCTGTTTCCGATTTACGACGACCTCGTGCCCGGAGAAGCGCCTTCTGCGCGATGAACCGTGGGTAGGTTGTAGGTATATGTATACCACGACACCGCGTCATCACCCTATAGTGTCTCTTTCTCTTCGGCTTAACCGCTGTGGTATACACTATACAGCACGAGCTCGGCTCAGACAATGCCCTCTCGCACCACGAACTGTTGCCCCGATGACCCACATATTATTATTATTATTATATGAAGACGAATCGCCACTACTGCATTGTCGAGTTATTTTATTTAGGCCGCATCTTTATAGTCTCGTATTGTCATAATAATGTGTAGGTATACATAAGCATACCTAAATATGGAACAGGTGTACGATACTATATATTATATTAAACGATAATAATATGTTGATGTTTATCATACATAAACGACTCTAAAATAAAATGCACTCCACATTGTAACACGAATTTTTTATAATTTATTTTATGATAATATACCTAGGTATTGTCATTATTAACCGGCTTTACATATTATGATATAACTATTATAGGCATTCTATATAGGTATGCGTTTAAAAGATACAAAATGGTACCGAATGAATTATAAGTTATTATCTAAAGTATTATTGCAATATTATATTTTAGTATCCATATAGGTAAAGTAGGTAAAGTTCTTTATCAGATTTTTGCTGTTATTGTGTGTACTGTCTTTGATACATTATATCCACTGCATAAACGAATGCGGGCGAGAATATAACGTAACATCCTAACTTATATGTATGAATAAATAAATGCATTTTAATAAGCATCGTCTACTATTATATTGCTGTAAATTGTTTTGTTTAATATCCACACGTATATTATTATATAGTCTCCATCGACAACCCTTTACGGCTATTCTTTATTTCTTCTCATGTCTCGCGTGTGGTGTGTATAGGTATATTGTGTAAAACGCGAATAAAACGAATGTTGTGCCGCAAGTGTGTGTAATGTACGGAAGTGCCAGTGCAGTATATTATAGACTATAGTAAGTAATATAAATAGTCAATACAGCTATAGCTTTATTGGTTTGCACGGTCGAAGTCCAGCCTGGACCTGACAGAAGATGTATTACGCTCGTGTCACGGATATTATATTTTAGTATCCATATAGGTAAAGTAGGTAAAGTTCTTTATCAGATTTTTGCTGTTATTGTGTGTACCGTCTTTGATACATTATATCCACTGCATAAACGAATGCGGGCGAGAATATAACGTAACATCCTAACTTATGTGTATGAATAAATAAATGCATTTTAATAAGCATCGTCTACTATTATATTGCTGTAAATTGTTTTGTTTAATACCTACACGTATATTATTATATAGTCTCCATCGACAACCCTTTACGGCTATTCTTTATTTCTTCTCATGTCTCGCGTGTGGCGTGTATAGGTATATTGTGTAAAACGCGAATAAAACGAATGTTGTGCCGCAAATGTGTGTAATATACGGAAGTGCCAGTGCAGTATATTATAGACTATAGTATACTGTATACATAAGTAATATAAATAGTCAACACAGCTATAGCTTTATTGGTTTGCACGGTCGAAGTCCAGCCTGGACCTGACAGAAGATGTATTACGCTCGTGTCACGGAATTAGGGCTAATCCTGAATTATTATATTATAAAAAATGTGTAATGTGTAACTACTCTAATGCAATAATGCGCGCACTGTCAATTAAAAAAATAATTTAAAATATTATATTACTGTTTTTACGGTTAGTATTTGTATACGATTTACCGATAAAAAGGATTACACTTTTTACTCGATTCCATCAAACCTGGAGGTTTTTAATGTTTCTATATTATAATATCTGTATAATATAATATTATGTTTGGATTTTTATTATTTTTTTTTATGTACCTTCCTACTGGTATATAATACACACGACTATTATCTACACTCTCGTTATTTTATACGTTATTGTATTATATCAGTAGGCCAAAGAAAATCCGGCTGGTCCATTTATCCGGAAATCCATTGTGTAGGTACTACCTTCTATATCTACTCGCACCGATTTTCGTTTGATTTGCATATTCCGAAAAGCATTACACTTGATATGCGGTGAAGTTAATTGACCGTGAAGGCACACTACGCATATTCTTTGCTTGTTCGTCATAATATTTATTATTTACCTGTATCCAGTTTATGGGTACACTATATTATTACTATAACAACAATTCATACCTTATTATACCTATATTCGGAATTGGTGCATCAGCATATATATATTTTTTTTTGAAAATTATATCTTTCTAGTATTTTTAGTTTAAATGTTTGCAATACAATGACATACTAAATTTGATGTGCTGTTTTTCTAATTTGACATAATTTTTCAAATGCCATATTATTGTGGATAGCAACGATGTCTGTTTATTATAGTACCTACGAAGTTTCCGTATTATTTTGCATAATGTAATAATATAATATTTAAATAAATATTCGTATAAAAAAGTCGATAAACTTAATAAAATAGAATATTAAAATATTTCGCGTCCTGTAAGTTATAAACATTATACACATGGCTATACTCGTTACATGTATGTATGTAGTATATACATTAAACATTTAAACATAAGGGAATATATTATTTTTTTTGTTTCCATATTAAAATAATGAAGTTTATTGCGGCGTGACTATTAAATTACACATTATGTAGGTACCAGTACATATTATGCAGTATATTGAAATGTATTTATATTATAATGGTGTTATAAAAAAATGTTGATTGTGTATTAATATTACCATCATTGAATAATTATCATTTACCGCGAGTAAAAAGAGAAAATGCTTTTTTTTAATGTCTTTTGTTCCGGGGAAAGTATATAATATACGACAATATGCATATAGTGTATATTGTATACCTAATATATTATATTAAATACTTGGTGTAAAAACGCACGGAAGGTGCTCTCTGTTCGTCATAAACTAACTATTTAGGAACCTTACTTATGTATACTTAACTGAAGCTGTACGGAGGACAGTAGAGAATGACTCCAGTAATAATAATAATTATTGATCATATAGTAATAATTAGTTGCTATATGTTGCAGAGGACGGGTCAGAGAGAGAAAACCAATTGTGCGCCAACATTATTTTGCAGACTGTATTTTAAATTATTTAATACTCAGCTTTGCTAATTCTGCGCGACTATATACTCATTATTATACCCATTATTTAATATATAAATAATAAATAACTGTAGCCTCGTATATGACGTAGATATAATATATATAGGTATCGCATCTGTTATTTACCTAACAATTATTAACATATCAACAGTTAATTGATATACTAATACTGATATGAATCTAGATATGCGCAAAATGCAATGTATACTTTTGCACATCATGGCTACTGTGATAATTAAAATAATATTATGTGCTATGCAAACTATATTATTTTGGTACACGAACTCTGTTGTTTACGTGCAAATATTGATGGCACCCAGTCATCAACGCTCGACGGTCAGTAATAATACGACACCGCGGTTCCGGTGCGCTATATAATACATTGTATTGTAATTGTATGATTTCGAAAAGTTGCATCCGGCAATTGTATTTTACCGATTTTTTTTGACACGCTTATTATATTTTTAAGTACATACAATGAAGTATTATGATGATTTTTAAACAACGCTTAATGTTTCTGCTTTATAGTTAAACTGAAAAATGTAAGCCTACAAGTTACAACAACTATACTATTATAGCCGTGTTAGATATAAATTATTATTAGTATAACAACTGTTAATACTTTGCTGTTTTTTCGTTATTATCTTTAGAAGCGCTGAATTTATACCCGAAACCGGGTATCTCTAAATGCACACGTTATTTTACAGACAAATTGGCACCTTTGGCGCCCGAAGTCATTCGTCTGTATTACACCGTATTGGTAGTATGTTTAATATAGTTATTATAGCTATACCTAACGTACAATCAACATATTATTATACCTAACCGCATCATACATGTGTATAAATATCTAATGTACCAATGGCTATTGCTATTATATGCCCATCTCCCAATATCTCGTCGTGGTGTAATATTTACCGTATACACCCGACAAGAATACATATTATTATTATTATTATTATTATTATTATTATAAGCTCCATCGTGGTACGCTCGAAAACTTTTTGCATATTATAGCTTTAGCAATATTTGAATATCTATATTATATTATGTTTTATAGATCGAATACGGCACAATATAATATTTCGATCACGTTCTAAAGCTTATCTATAATATACATAAAACAAAATGCAGTATATGACGGTGAAAATGTCAAAATGGATGAAAAAAGTCACGAAGTGTTTTTGTTAGGAATACGCACCGTTTGCAAGTAAAATCACCGATATGCGTAGATAAACAAATAACAATAACGTAATATTATATTATTCTAATAGGTATATGTTATCTAATGTAAATTGTTTTAATTTTAGTAAAATTTACTCATTGTACTGCAATTATCTATAATACTACTGTGCCGACTTTATGTAGCGTATTTACCATTTATATTAGATACAACATACATTATGCAATATACATTTTATATTACACCAAAGTCCAAAATAATGAATAATGTTTTCGCATGTTACATTTCTATAATACACATACCTACCTATAATACGTCAGTACATTGTATTATAATAATATGCTAAATATATAATATTCTATACCTACCTATAAGGCTATAATAGTAGTATGTCTGCACTTTAGTCCCCCGGGGCTGCGGGGTTTTACTTGACGAATACATTAACATTTCGAATCGTTTACCACGCGTGATACTTACATTATTAATTAATAGGTATAGTATAATATAGCTATTCATATTATTGTAGATTCGTCGATCGTCTGTTTCACAACTTTGCACAATATAAAATAACGTATTCCGGGTTTTGCCTATAACAGCTATAGCTGCGTATAATATATTTAAATCGGACAACGAGTCAGCCGCGGTGACTTCATCGATTCGTCTGGCTCGTCTGAGGAAATTTCGAAAATCTAAACATTCTTTTCGTACTGTATTCGACCAGTTTGGGCAGTAAGTTGTGTATCTCTGTCTCTATAGTGTTTCTACATATTTTTGTTTTTTTTCCTGAAGTGTTGAAAGTTGCTCATGAAACAACGATGTTGAGCGTTTCTCAAGATTTTTGAAATCTAGCTCATTATTATATGTATGTGGGTATACTCGTAGTCCGTACAATGTGTATAGTAATAATGCACATAATAATTAAATATGGTTTATATATATATAACTAACACGCATGTTTATAGCGGACGTGATGACAAAGTCAGTGTACATAATAAAATATTATATATACGTATGAATGTATGATCCATGCACACGCGTGTGTATATATGTATTATAAGTTATAACAGTGTATGTGTACGTGACTCGGACTCTCCGGCTCAGTGGAAATAGAGCGCGAATAATTATTATGCCGATGAGATCCGGAAAGTGACACAAACAATGAAATACTTTCGGGAAAAAATAAGAGACCACCGAACAGTGTTTTTGCTTTGAATAATAATAATAACACATTATATATATAATATTGTAGTATTTAATTCCAAAAGTCGTGAACATGCATCCCGTGTCATTAAAAATTATGGATCCCATTTTACAGATAGGGCTATTTAAAAACTCAAGCGAAGCACCTGAACCCAAGACAAAAAATTCCCACTTAGTTACTTACAAATGATTATAGTTTTAATATATTATAAAAATGTTTGTCATTATATATACGCTATCATAATATTCGACGCTATATGATATTATTGACATTATATTTTGATGTTGCGCCCTTATGTATGTGGGATTTCCTATATCGCTCTCTGCATAGTATTTTCACTTTTATGAATAAGGCACACTTATTATCACACGATGTGTATAAAATTATACATAAATACGAACACGATTTCATGTATAATATACATTATATTTGTATATTACCATACAAATATACCTGTTTAACCCTTTTTACCAAGAATATATTTATGGAGATCGGAACCCACCTTAAACAATTTTCCGTGTATCTATTATCTACATGTGCAAAATCCAAGCAGTCGTGTCGCATGCACAATTTATTTATGATGTAGGTAAATCAATTGAAGAACGTGTTTGTATAGGTTAGGAGCCTGTGCAGGTACATCCGATAAAAAGAGAAAACGAGCCGTTTTTGGGATTTTTCCATGACAACGAGTTATAAAGGTATTATTATGGAGCATAAGATAAAGTATTTGAATATTCTGTTTTTTTTTCGAATATATTATTATAATGTCATGTCCGTTAGGCGATATAGTCGTCGCAGGAGTCATTCAGTTACAATCGTATACTTATCTAAATATCCGCCGGAGTACATTTTTTAAATACCTAACTGTTCGGCATTTGGTCTCTCATCGGATCGTATTATATTATAATATAGTCGCGTGTATGATGCATAATAATAGCAGTTATAAACCCGTTTTCTCCCTGCACGTCCGACCACGGGAATACTACTTTGTATATTGTGCGTACCTATAACATATACATTTCGATAATACCTACAAGTAATATTTAACGAACACGTTTTACTGTTACGAAACCGTTGTTAAACAAATCACCTCGGAAGGCTCATAATAATTATTTTTATAAACATAATGTAATTATTACCTATATAGTGTTTAACACGGATAAAAGATTATACGTCATATACCATACACGTACCTTAGGCATACCGCGTACGTACTACCTATGTGTATAAACTATATATTATGCTACATAAGTATACGATTCTTGGATTAATGTGCTCTATCGTATATTCGCGGAATCGATGTAAAAAGAAGACCGATTAAGCGGATGGATTATAATATTAAATATTATTTTTAAGCATCACAATATTATTGCTAACCCGTTTAATAGGTTATCAGTAGCTCAGCATTAAACGCGTATTTAATTTAGACGAACAATTTTTCATGAGGAAGTGCATCGCATCATGTAATATATTTATACTAATCGAACACTCAGATATATTTTAGTCCACTGCTTAGCTGTACCCTTCACGTATTTAGTCGTTCATTCTATTGAACCATCACGCTCCAGTCCTCGAAAAAAATTACAACTTACATTTTTATTTTCCTGGAAAAAACTAGACATTTAAAAAATGGAAATGTTTGCCATAGCTCATTGGTATGATTTTAATCGTTACCAAATATTAAAACATAGAAACATAGAAAAGGTGATAACAATTATATTGCTATTTGCTAGCATAGGTATCAGATAGTTAAATTAAAATAACAATTAAAATATTAAGTTGCAGAGTCTAGCTAGGTATAGAACCTTTTTTCGGATAGCAAGAGTACCTAATATACATTTTGTTCACTTTATACAATATTAGAAAAACAGTAGGATTAATATAGTGAATACACAAGTGTTCCATAACCCTACAGTAACCCTACATTAACCCAACAGTCCCAAAAACCCCTGGCTAATAACCACGTAGTTGATGCCATAAACAATTAATAATAATATAGTGAATACATTAATTACTATAAATAGGTATTATAATAGTCATTCCTAACCTTAATAGGTGCCTAAATGATAAAACAAGATAAGATAATAATTATGGAAACGATTTAAAATGATGATAGCTAATACAGGAAAGTAGAATTATAACAGCATTGGATACGGAATTATAACTCTAATATTTTTATTAAAATTTTTTTGTTACATTTAAAAATTACGGTAGAGCCTATATTGTACTTTTATACCCAATCAACATAGTTAATACGGTTGAATATATTGTTGAGGATAGTAACTTAAAACTTAAATCCTATTAAATGAATGGAATTTTTTTTTCGATGTTTATAAAATTACATACATAGTTATAACTGAATATTATGGCAGTAAGGTACATAGCAGACTGCAGATGGTATGGTCCGTTAATTGTTTTAGATTTAGATCACACGGAGCTTTGTAGTTTCTGGGTTTAATCTAGATTCCTGGCTTTTCTATTTGACATACCACATACCGTGTCACTAAGATTAAAGCTAATAATATTTATTGACATGACATTAAAATGAAACATTTATATAATTATTATTATAATAATTGGGCTTGTTGTGTGTTTACAGACTAATCGCGAACGATGGCGCCTTCCACCGCGACGACGTGCCGGTCGAGAGCTGACGGTCGTCGCTCGCATCTGCTGCTATCGGTTCGGACGCTGGTTGCAATCACAACCGCGGTCGCGTTTTTCGCACTGCCGGTCCATTGTCAGTCCGAAAAACGGCTTTCGTCCATCCAACAGCAACAGCAACAACACCAGTACTACGATTCGGATGAGCTGACCAGTGGCAGTGGCGGAGAGGTGATCAAGAGCAAAATTCGGCCGGATACGTACTCTCAAGACCCTTCTGTGCAACAATACGAAAAGCACTTGCAACATGGCAAGCAGTCGGACGTGGTCGGCTCGGCTTCAACCGTTTACGGCGAACAGTACGGCGACGGAGGCGCACTGATGCAGCAGGACCAGCCGCTGTTGGATGAGGAGGCCCAAGAGTCGATCAGCTCGGGTTCGATAAACAACCACAGGATACCACAGTATACTCGCGGTGGATCTCCTGTGCCCTCTGACGTGGTCGAGGGAAAGAACGTGGGCAACCGGGCGGTCGGCAACAACTACCATCACCCAGGTAATCCGTCATCGGCCACCGGTGGTTACGCCGTCGACTCGGCGTACGGTCCGCACTACAGTTCCCAGGACCTGGTACAGGACCAAAACTATCAGCTCGAGTTCAAGTATCACGACTACGACAAGATGACCAAGTTCCTGAGGACCACGTCGTCTCGGTTCCCCAATCTCACAGCCCTCTACTCCATCGGAAAATCCGTCCAAGGTACGTCCACTTGTATACTGTTTCTTCCTCGTCGAGGATAATAATTATATCGTTAATTTTTATGTTATACTTTATACATAATATATTAATACAATAATACCTATATTAAACTACGTTATTGCTCCACGTGTACGATTTTCGAAAACTCAATGTGTCGGGGCGGGGACCAACAAGTATTGTTGGTCTGTTTTCCCTGATTTACTAGTTACAGTATTTTTACAAAATATAATTTAAATTTTAAGCATATAAGCTGTTAATTTGTTGAAACTTCACTCATGCTCGATCTCGTACTCGTACACTATAAGTTACACTTATGTTACATAACGAGAACTATTTAAGTTGTAATATAACTAGTTTAATATATTATTTCTAACAAAGATATTAAAGACAAAAACAAAAACAGGAAATCAAGAAGATTGACAATAATCGTCTTTATGTGGAACGTATTCCATTGTTATATTATATAGATACTTTGGTATTTGAATAGGTAAAAAGACAACTATGTTACTCTTAAAAATATACGAAATGAGCACGACTTGTGAGAGAATTATTGTAATAGCAGCATTATACTTTTAAGCATATTTTGCTTATAAAACTCGTTTTCGAATTTTCCAGTTTATTCTGTTTCGAAAATTATGTGTATATTGTATAATAAAATAAGAACAAATTGTCGTTGTATACCGGTGAATGGTAAATATATTATAATTATGATAATATCTATGTATGTACTTTGCCTACATAATATACACTATGCATATTAGTATATTACATATATGAGTAATGCACAAAAAACACTTACCTAAGTTATTACTTTACCTACTCGGGTAGTTAATATAAGAAATTTAAAATACTCGTCACTCGTCGTGTAATATTATATTATAACATTTTAAATTATACATAATATTATGCTTGTTTATCGGCTTAAACTATTTTGTTAGTTTATAATTTACAATAAACATTTAAAAAAAATAAACTTAAATATTATAGGTCGTGATTTGTGGGTCATGGTGGTGTCTTCCAGTCCTTATGAACACATGATTGGCAAACCAGATGTCAAATACGTGGCCAATATGCACGGAAACGAAGCTGTTGGCAGAGAGCTCATGTTGCATCTCATTCAGGTAACATACTTTTATAGTTACTATGACATAGCAACATAGGTACCCATCGAGGATTAGAAATAGGTATGAGTACAGACGGTTGACAGTGTTCAAAAATTTTTGCTAGGGAACAGGATACATGGATATATTATGTATAATGTAATATTATAATACGTCTACAATTTTTGTTCTTATGACATATTCTTATGACCCTCCATCGTTTTTGATTTAACGGCATTATGATTATGTCTTATTCAAAACAAAAAATGTGCTTATGTATTTTAGGCAAGTTTACGGGGTGGGACGCTGCAGCAAGGAATTTTAACGTTCATACTTTGAACTTTTCTAGTTAACCTATCCCTCTTTGCCTTTCATGATCGTACGAGTAGATAGATAATCGTTAGTGCATCAATAAGTAATAATTTATAGTATATTACAATGTTATTCAAAAATATCCAAAAACATAATAATATGCTCAGTAGAAATATAAAGTATAATGTATTATTCTTCTGTACTTAACTAACTGACAACTGTACAGACGTCGATTGCAGTAATATAGTATGTGTATACAGTTATATAATATGTATACCTAACAGTGTATTATAATATATTCATGACGATGACTCTTAAACTAGTTCTTGAAAAATGTAAATGCTATGATTATTATTACGATTTTTGGAATTGTTGTAATGTTGTATTATAATAACCGTTTTAACGCCATATTGCATTATTCTATATTATTATATAGTTCACATTTGAAACGCACTACTGACTACTGTCTTTTCATGAAAAATTGTTCATAAAGGAATTATAAGCATTATGATGTAATAGCATAATTATTATAAAAACAATCTATTCGAAAACATTGTTTAGGTACCGGATAATATAAAAATCGTGCCGTACAATGTACGAACTGAATTCCGTATACCCAACTACTGAGAACTCAATTTAAAGAAATAATTTCCTGTTAGAATAACACGTAGGTGTAATAATCTATAAAATGATGTATGATTATCAATTTGAAATAAAAGCATATACAACGAATATTTCGTGTTTAAGGTACATTTTATCAAACGTTCTCAGACCGTCGTTTGTTTCTAACAGTTCCTCAATGTACATTATTTGAACATTTGTAAATATTATGTTATTATATTGGTATCGAGTGATTTCGATGTTCGGTGATAATTTTCCTAAGTAAAAATAATACGTAAGCACTGCACTCATCTGCAGGGATGAAAACTCGGGAAATATGAGGGTCTCAAATTCCCATGTACGATGTCCTAACATAAATATAGAGTACTGCGGAGATGCTAGCTGATATAGGTAGCTGGTTTATGTGTGTAGATGAACAAATACACTATGTATCTACACCTAACAGGTCTAGAAATAGTCGTAATTATCCAGCTGACATTTTTGGAAATATGTACACGGGATTTGGTAATTGGGCATATATTTGGCGCATATAGTTATCGGATTCGAGTATAGCACGAGATATAATCTAGACAATATTTCCTATTTTTCTAAATAATAAAGTTTAACTAAAACACAAATATATCGGTCGGCTAGAAGGAATTTCTAATCCCACAATTTCCCAAAAATTCCATATGCAATCTGTTGTATAGTCATTACTCATTAGTATTGGGTTAAAAATCGCACTTAAATGATACTTTTTACTTAGCGTCTCAGCCCTACGTCAAAAAAAAAAAATCATAATAATAATAACAATAAATTGTGTTATTTAAAAATTGAAAATAAAAATTCGGTTTGTGTCCATTAGTATTTGGTGAACAGTTACTCGGTGGACCCATACATCAGGTGGCTTTTGGACAACACGCGCATCCACGTGTTGCCGTCGATGAACCCTGACGGTTTCGAGGTGGCACGCGAGGGTCAGTGCGATGGTGGCCAGGGTAGGTACAACGCTCGTGGCTTCGACTTGAACCGCAACTTCCCGGACTACTTCAAGCAAAACAATAAGAGAGGGCAACCGGAAACTGATGCCGTCAAGGAATGGACTTCCAAGATACAGTTCGTGCTGTCTGGTGGACTTCATGGGGGTGCCCTAGTGGCAAGCTATCCGTTCGACAACACTCCCAACTCAAGTGAGTCGGCTTTATAATATTATCATACTTATAATTTAGTCAACTGTATCAAACAATAAATTAATTAATGATACTCATTACAGTAAAAAATAATAAAAATTCTATATACTAATATCAATAGGTCGGATAAATATATTAAAGATCCCTTGTAATAGCAGAATACAACATTTAATTTAACCAGCTGCTTATTGTTAAATGACATTATTATCATTATAATTATTATAAAAATTATTTAAAACATTAAAACATAGAAAAATTTTGTTTACATCAAGTATTTAATAAAAACAGTTGGTATTATTTTCATTTTATTTTAATGTTAAAATAATATTAGTGTTGATACAATTTATGTCTTGCATATAAAATAATTTCAATTAACAATTTATTTTACTATTCAATGTGATCCCCTCGTTTTGGTTTACCAGATATGTCTAATATATTATAATATAACGTGGTACTTACATAGGTTAGCAATCGAACTATGAGTGTTTTAATTTAAAAACTAATTAAATACTATTTTATAAAAATCGGATTTAAACGATACGAATATTTTACATGTCTAACGAAATTCTAATTACGAAGGATTCTGTATTTCATCACCACTGTGTTCTGGTAAGTAAATACATATAATTATGTAGAAAAATAATAGTATAAGTGCTGCAAAAACAGCAATGTACATTTCCAGTATTAACATATATAGGTATACTATATTATGTATAAAACGAACACTAAATAAATGGGAAAAAACTGACGACTCGATGATTTGGGGTTTGGTACGCATTGACTCGTCATCTGTATTCATCGTGATGCTCCCCTTCACATCGTGACCGTGACAGTGAAAATATGTTGTGTTACTACTTTTTTTTTCATAGAATTTCAAAACGATCGGTATTCATTATAATTGGTACAATCTATAGAGTATATATTGTATATAGGTATACTTCGTTGTATATATGTATGCATAATAATATTATAGTTACCCATACACTATTATACTTATACTGCACGTTAAACACCGTAATCATAATTATTATTATAATACATAATATATACGAGCGATGTAAATAATTAATAATTATTATTATCAAACGCGACAACCGACGAGATGTTATTATAACAATATATTATACTATGGCCAACATCATCATTCATCGTCGTTAATCGGACGTCGCGGCGTACCTACCCATACCTCAATACCTGTACACACATATATATATATATTACCATCGTCATTTACGTGCTATAATATTATGTCTTATACAGTGTTCCAGAGCTACACCTCTACGCCGTCGCTGACGCCCGACGACGACGTGTTCAAACATTTGGCTCTGACCTACTCCAGAAACCACCCGACGATGAACCAAGGAGTGGCATGCAAAGCGGGAACGCCGACGTTCAATAACGGCATCACCAACGGAGCCGCGTGGTATCCGCTCACAGGTAAAAACCGGTCAGACCATCGTACCTATATAGGCGCACTCGGTCCCAAATGTTATGTTATTATGTTTTCACGACGATAAAGAAAATAATATTAGGTATGTTTGAGCCGCGATAACGTTACACGCGTACCTTACAATATACCTACGCACTGCAGAGTGCAGCGGTATTATTAAATAAAATATACCTATAGGTAGGTACCTAATTACATGTAGGTGCAGCGTGCTGCGTGCAGGATGATTATTTTAATTTTTGACCGTTGTACTTGTACAGCAATAACATTCAAGTTATCTCCAAAAGCGAGTAAAAATAATTTTTGAACATAGTTCGGAGCTGTCATCGCACGTAACAACATGACGTGTGAGAACAAAAAATATGTTTTGCTACTTTTACTTTTTTTCCTGAAAGGCATGCACGTGCCAACATTTTCATATTGCGTAGCAGAATATGACATTTGAAATGTAGGCTATCTTTCAAAAAAGTAAAACTTGCTTAAATTAAAAAGTTAAAAATTATAGTTTAAAAAAAAATTGTTTTATGGAGACTTCAAAGAATGTATGAAAAAATATTTTCAAAAACATTAATGATGCTCGCTTCGATAAACTGGGTGATTAGTGATTCCTTAGGAACAATGATCTTGTTGGTACACGTCGGTGCAGCAGTACTTCGATAATCGTTTAAATATTTATGTTTAATCAATGACATTATTACGTGTTCAAAGTTCAATCGTATGCACGGTTAATAGGTATAATTTGTATAGGTATCATGTTACATTTAAATCATTATAAGTATCTATACCAAGATTTAAGTGGCACCAACCAGAGATATATTTTTTCTCTATCTATAAATACCACTCATACCGTGGTCTGTAGTCATACCAGACATAGGTACCTATTTAAGTATAGGTATCACCGCGGGCGCAGAAAATACGCCGTTTCCGTTTTAAATAGGCACTAAATAATTATACATAGGTAGCTGATAACGTCATTAACAGCCTGTTCTGCACAGTGTAGTTGTTACTTCTTACTGTATTCATAATATTAATATTATTATATATTATTATACATTTACATCTCATAATAATTTATAGGACTGTCCGACAGTCACTGTCGTGTTATTATTATTACACCCAGGAAGTATGTGTGTCAGCATTTATATTCTGTGGTATCATTATAACGGACACGGTTGAAGTGATTTACAAAAATATTATTAAACTATTATAGATAATATCATTAGCTATTTTAAAATTGTTTTCGTTCTAAATATTATTTCTTTTTACCCACGGCAACTGCAGCGTATTAAGTAAATAATATTTATTTTACCTTAATAACCCAATTTTTTATATCGCCTACCAATTCTCTCGATGTCAATACCGTTTGAAATCCTATTGAAACACTAGGTGTATAAGAGCATTAAAAATGAATTTCCCTTAATTGTGAAATAATAGAAATTGCCGAGTTTTATTTTCACTAAAACAATCTAGAGATGAGATTGTACTAAATTAAGGGGACGATTTTTTTGAAACCGTACACGATTTAATATTTAAATTTAAATAATTTTTTAATAATTGAAAATAAATATTTATTGTCAAATTCAAAAAGTCTAGTCTATTTTTAAACTAATTATCAATTTTATTTTAAGTGTATTTCATAATTTCGAATATTAGAAAAACAATATCGATCCTGGTAGACAGTAGTACATCTCTAGTAAATTACTTTGGAAAAATAATGAATCATTCAATAGTTGCATTTATGTATACTTTAATTATAATTTTGGTTTGAATTGCCTATACAGAGTCCCTTAAAAATCTTTATACAGTTGCACCTTTTTTTTTTTTAAATAGAATTTAAATTTTGGGAATGAAACTAAACTTCTTCACTGTACGACCAGATATAAATAATTTATTATTGTGCCATATGTATATTTTAGTTATATCGTTACATACACATTTAGTTTAATCTTTCAAACATATTATGTGTATTATAGTAAATAATAATATATTAATATGCTTTAATCCCATAGGTGGTATGCAAGATTTCAATTACGTTTGGTACGGTTGCATGGAAGTGACATTGGAATTATCTTGTTGCAAATACCCATCCACTTCCGAGCTGCCCAAACTCTGGGAAGAAAACCGATTGGTAAGCACGATTATTATAGTTTTGGCCGCCGTGTCCAGTGTGCATTTATTTATTTCCAAATTTTTTTTTTTAGTCGCTCGTCAAATTCTTAGCTGAAGCTCACCGAGGAGTCCATGGATTCGTGATGGACGAACACGGTAACCCGATCGAAAAGGCATCGCTGAAGATCAAGGGCCGTGACGTAGGATTCCAAACGACCAAGTACGGTGAATTCTGGAGGATATTGTTACCCGGTGTTTACAAGCTCGAGGTCAGTAGAACATAAATACATACAATCATATTTTTTATATTAAACATCATACCTAGTAATAGGCAGGTATTATACCCACATTTCCAACCTAGTACATAATATTATTTCTTTATTAGTAAAATATTTTATAATATTTTTATTTGTATACTCATACGTCATATTAAAATCATTGCATTATAATTGTAAAAAAAAAAAATCTACATGGAATTCGGTTAAAAAGTTCACATACTCCGAATAAATTCCCTTCCCTTATTCAAAACAATGTGAATGTATAACTACGTACCTATAAACGTGATTTTCTGCCGGAAATAATATACTTCAGTTTCCAAAAGTTTACAGCTGCAAAGACTTACTCTTAGGTGTATATATTTCTCCGCGTAGACGACAAATGACAAAGATTTAAATAAGTTTTATATGAAATATAAAAGGGCGATCGAGAGGCTGAGACGACTAACCACCCTCCCGCATAAGCCACTTCAACACGCCCCCTTTTCCAGCACATATCGCAATACCTACTATATAATAGTATAATAAATCCAACTGGTGTTGCGTGATTTCAGATCTACGGAGACGGATACATACCCAAGGAAATGGACTTCATGGTCGTGGAACAACACCCCACTCTGCTGAACGTCACGCTGCACACGTCTAAGGTAGGTAGTCAGCCGACGAAAAAGCCTCGTCTAAAACCCTGGCAACCGCCTTGGATGACCGGCACCCGGGACGAGACGATCTCCGTCCGGGGTGCACCCCCCAATTCCAGCAGGAACTGGAGGGACGGGTTACGAGCTTATTGCAGCGACGCTCGTTCGACATCGCGCAGCTGGCATGCGAGAACCGCGGCCGTGGTGGCGGTCGTGCTTTTCTCCGGACATCGCAAATAACCGCTTTTCGCTATAAAAATTTATATTGATTTGTATATTTTATATTGTTTATTTATCATATTCAATATTGATAGGACGTAGTAGGTACTCGCGCCCGTTGCATCCGCCTTACTAACGCATAACACATTGGTAGGTACTGCCAAAATGTGTAAGTTCAGCAGTTGCGATTTTGTGTTGTTATAGCTTTAATGACAACAATGTATTAGAATGTGTCATTGACCTGTTATGACATTTAGAGTTAAAAAATCTTAAAATATAGAGTATTATTAGTATAATATTTACGGTATAATAATATTAGTATATTATATTAGTACTTTATATTCAGTATAATAATTACGGTACTCAAGTTTTTAAGCAAGTTACGAGTAGGTAGGCTATGTAAAATATTAATACCTACCTACCTAAAAACGTTCATAACTTGATTAAAAACTAAAATATCGTAAAAATCCAACTAAAGAGAGTACAGATAATGTTCTTATACCTACTTTTAACCTTCATAATCGGTCAGTTCACTCTAATATTAAAGCTAACACAAAGGTGTCACATCCCCCTTTTGACTAGTTTTTGTCATATAAAATATTTGATAAAGCAATAAAAGTATAAATTGACCGCTATATTATGTGGTCTAAGAATAGTCAAAAACTCATATCCCACCCTTTTTAAAAATGGTGAGCACGCCAATGGACTGTTGTCCCTTCATTTGGAGAGCGCAAAGGGGTGTAGCCTCCCTTACTACGATAATTGGTTTGGCGGAGTTATTATTATTATAATAAACAATTTCGTATCGTTTGTTTGTTCACATCGTCCAGAGGGATGCAAACGAATCTACTTTATAATATGGTTTACGTACCGAATTCAAACGCTTAGAAAAATGACCAAAAGATTCACCAAGACAGATTTTTTAAAAACTTTTAGTTTTAATTAAATTTTCTCACGACCGGCACTCCACCGCCCGCGCATACTTCCGACTTCTAAATTATTATTTCTTTTGCACAACTAATTACCTTACGCTACAATGCATTAATACTTTAGCGCTTCTATGAATGTAAGACACATCAATCATTATAAAAAAATATTCTCAAAATTGTGAATAGTTTTTTTAAACAATCATCGGTGTCTTACATTGAAGAATCACTGGCACAAACAATACACATCACTAACGACACCAACTACTGATTTTGTTTATATAATACAAAGCAAAGGTATAAATATTACTACATTATTTTTTATTTATTTTGGTATCCGTTTCAACAGAAGGTACCTACTAATATTCAAATTAAAAAAACTATAAAGAACAGAGGAAGGACTATTAACTTTTTTACTAACATTTCTGCTGCCTGAATAATTTACATAGAGAAATTCATAATTATAATACTCTTACAAAATACTTTTTTGAGTAGATAGTATTACTTACTATGTTGTTATTATTGCTAATTTTAAAAGTTATTAATGTGTCTAAGTCTATGCATATCCAAATTTAATATCAAAGTTGTGTTATTACTTATAGTGTTATTTAAATTCTTTTAATTAATTAATATGTGCTAAACTATAAAGGCAGGTAAAGAATAAAGATTACCTATGTAATAGAAGATTAAATTTAAGGCTATATAAAATAAAACATATAAGATATAAGGAAAATAAAAGGTATTAAAATTTCAAAATGATAAATTGCATTTTTAAACATGTGTTAAACTAGAAAATATAGAATTTTGCATTTTGAGTGTCTTAAGTAGGTACCTATTAAAACAATTTTAAATGGTACAAAATTCGAGCCAAAACATTTTACCTGAATGTATAATATTATCATAGTCAAAATAATAATGTACTTGTTTTGTGTTGCTTAAAAATATATTTTATGTATCATGGTTATAAAATATTTAACAAATGTGAATATATTTTGTAAGTAGTTTGCTAATTGTACCAAAATGTCATACAACATACACCATAACAAATACATCACATTAATATTATGTAGATAGGTACATCAAATTTGTACATCTAAAAATAGTGAATAAGTTGTTAAAATATTTGATACTTAAATAAAATATAATTTTTATTTAAAATTTACATATTATATTGGTTAATACTATTAACAGTGGCTAACACTAATTGGTTAACTCTATGATACCTTGCTTTTTATAACACGCATGTAGATTGATTTCTAAATTAACATCTTCCTACTTTATTTATAACTGGTGAATATTTCCAATGTATTTTCTACAACTATTATTCTTTGCATACATGTACAAAACTCAAGTGGTTACAGGTTTTAAGGCAAAATACAATTTCTGCATTTTCTTCTTCTACTACTACTACTACTACTACTACTACTACAGATTCAAGAATAAAATTCCCTAATTCTAACAGATTTTGAATTTGAAGTTTCTCTTCTTGACTTCATTGATTCGTAAGTAATACCATTGATCATAACTACTGGTATTTTTCATCAATGGTAATGTGTACAAACATTTATGATCATTAATCTAACATTTTCATATTAATACATAATAATACACTGAATATCCAATTTATATTAAATAAATACATTTTTATAAACATTTGTTTATTGATTTTGTTATAAATGTACTTTCAGAGACAGGATAACACACCTTACAGACAGCCAGTTCCTCACTTCTATCATCATCATCATCCACAAGGTATAGCATTGGCGCCTAAACAACCAACTCAAGACCCTGGAATATTCTCAAGTATTACATCTGGTTTCAATAACTTTGTCAGCAATATGTTTGGATAACCTTATTCCTATCCAATAGCCCCAAATTCCCAAATAATAAATAATGAATTATTATAGCCAATATACGATCTCTAAGCTATAAGACACACAGCTTTTAGGTTAAGTTAAGTTTTTCCCTCCAACAAATAAATACTTAATTAAACCATTGTAACAATTTTAATATTTTACCTCCTACTTAATAATACTTATTTATTGAAATTATTATAAATTATTACGTTAAATACTATATTATTTTTATTATATATATATATATATATATATTTTACAAACTAAAGTATAGTTATATAATTCATTAATTTTTTATGGAAATTATTTTATTATTTTGTGTACATAATATGAACAAAAATTATAATAACAAATTATGATTTATTTGTTTTCTTTTGATATATTCACATATAAAATCATGAAAAAAAATTGCATGTAAAAATAAAAAAGGCAAACCTAAGAGTAAAATACTTAATTGTGCAGTCTTCAATTATCAGTGGGTATTAATTTTGATCTTATCATATGGAAAGCACTAATTAAACTACCGAGATGTATTTTTTCACTTGTTCCACCATTGAGACGTATTTCAATATCAGCCATTTCAGTTAGTATTTCAATGAGTGAATCTGGTGGTAAATCCACTAAAATATATAAGAACTGTTATTAGACAATAGTAAGTTATTAGTTATTTTAATGTAAATTGTAAACACTAAATAAATATTACAATTTTTTGGATGACCAATAAATAAATAATACTAACATCTATATAAAAATGTGTGCAACTCTGTTAATATGTCTTGTAAAGCCAAACCTTTCTGAATTTTTAATTCTTGGATTTCTACGACAAAAATATAGTTTATTTTAACCATAAATTGAGTTAATTGAGTAATAGTATAAAGATTTACTTTTAAAGGTAGTAGAAAAGTCATCATTTAATAACCATTTTAAAATATTCATAATATCACTTTTTAATGGATGACCAACACACGTGTAGACAGAATCTTCGCTTACTTCTGGAAACGCAGTAGCAGCACTTTGTAATATGTTGAGAACTTTCCGCATATCACCTTGTGCCAAATCGATCAGTGCTTTTTTACCATCCTCTGTTACTTTCACTCTAAGAATCAAATCAAAATAAGTTTTATAAAATAAATATTCAATGAACATTTATATAAACTTATAATAAAGAAAGTGAAAATACTATACTTTTCTTGTTCAATAACATATTCAAGTCTAGGCATAATCTGTTTCGAATCAAGTGGACCAAATCGAAAACGTGTACATCGAGACTGTAATGCCGGAATTATTTTGCTTAAGTAATTGCAAATTAAGCAAAAACGAACATTGTCAGTAAACTTTTCAATAACTAAAAAATAAACATAATAGTTATAACATTTTTATTGAATTATTTATGTTATTAATATTTTTAAGTTCTTATACTTCTTCTTAGAGCATTTTGGGCATCATTAGTCATCGCGTCGGCTTCATCCAAAATAATCAATTTGAAACCAGATTTGAAAATTGTTCTGGTTGATGCAAAGTTCATAACTTGTCCTCTAACAACATTAATTCCTCTGTCATCAGAAGCATTCAATTCAAGAACCTAAACATGTATACAAATTTATTACACACTTTAATAGAAAAAAAAAAACTAAATTGACAGTTAATATTTGCTTATATGGTACCGTGAGTTGATTTATCAAAATAAGGAAAACTAAACAAGAATAATGTGTAAGATTAAAAGTTAAAAAATTCTATAATCAGCCTTGTTAGGTTTTTGTTATATTATATATAACATTTTATGTATATGTTCTAACCTTTCATAGACATTTTTTTTTTGGCATTTACTTCTAATATTATATTATTTTCAAAAATGAACAATTCTTCACAACATATGAATTATGTTACTATTAATAATAGCATTACTATCAGTAATAAGGTTTCCTATAGAAAGATTTTACTGGATTTGTAACATTCACAATTTTGATGATATGATTAACCAGTAAACGGCAGTTTTAAAGAGAGCAATTTTAGGTCCATCATGTAAAGACAAACATTTATTTATTCATTGCCTCCCAAAAGTAAATAATCTACCAATAAAACTTAAAACCTCAACTAAAATAGTTTGATTGTCAAATTAGTAAAAATGTAATTAACTCATGAACAACAACTATAATAATAATGCTGGGGGCTGGTATGTTACCAATGTGTGCTGTGATCCAACAACCTTTCGGCATTACTGGCTTCTAGATGGTGGTCACACCTGGGTTCTTGGCAATAATTTCATGCCACATATAAAAATATGTGTCCCTTCCTCAAACATATGTTCATAGTTGGCGAAGCGCAAAGACCAAAATATACCCATAATATGGTCAATACATGTACAATATACAAACCATTGAACGAAACTGTGCTGGAGTATACAATTGCTTGGCACATGCTAATATCGTACTAGTTTTTCCAGTCCCCGGAGGTCCATAAAATAATAAATGAGGTAACTGATCTTCTTTAATGAATTTGCCAACTATAGGTATACATTTACAAAATATTAATGAATTTGTTTATAAAAAAAAAATTTTTCATGCCTTACTTGTTTGAATAATGTCTTCATGCGAGATCAAATCATCTAAAGTATTTGGTCGATACTTTTCTACCCTGTGATCATATAATAAAATAAAAAAAAAGGACAGAATATTAATAGGTGAAATAAGTTTTAAGACAGATATAATATCTTACCAAGGGAGATTTGGTTTTGCTTTCATCATTGTACCTATAAGATGTCAGATGTTGATATAATATCAGTTATTTTAATACTTTAGGATCATTACATTTTTATGAATTTATTAATGCAGATTGCAACATTTAAAATGTCATTACTTTCTAACACTATTAATTATAATTTATTTATTGTTACTTGTTATTGCTTGTATAGTTGTTGTATATTTGACACTTGGTAGTTTGGAATTTTTAATCAGTTGTATAGGTAGTTTAATACTTCGATTGTTGTACTAAATGCCCAACTACTGAACACTGAAATCTGAATTTCTGAAATACTTTAGTTTAGAAATATATTACTGTTGTTAGTATCACATTAAATATTTATAATATTTATCTTTATATTAATTCATCAATAAATGTTTATATTTAATAATTTACATTTTATTTTATTTTGTGTTTTAGGTTAAATGATAATGTTTTCAGTTTTGGCGCCAATGTCTTTATCATAGCCCTTGAAAAATATATACTCGCATGCATTATGGCTGCAGCTGCTTAGATCATAATACTAGACAGCACGGATATAGATACTAGTATCACAGAATAACGTTATTCTGTGCTAGTATCACCCACGGACTAAGATATACTAAGATAAGGTATATCTTAGTCCATGGTATCACCATAGAACAAGGTTATCAATAAGGGATCACAGAACCTAACCTAACCTTGTTCTGCGCACGATTTAAGAGATACTATTAGATATATATAATCTATCTTAAACCGTGGTTCTGTGGTTATGTATATTATGATGATATCACAGGTTAAATTATCATGACTCGTGATAGGTCCTATACAGGTTACCTTGGTACTATAACACAGATGTCTATATTATAGACATCTGTGTACTATAATATTCTGGTAGTCTTTTTATCATTACTCATAATTCTAATCACTACTCATCAGTCATCGGCCATCCTCATTCTCTTTCTCGTTAGCTCTTAGCTCGTTAGCTATCAGAATTCTAGTTTCCATACTTTCATGGTGTTAAAGATTTAAATTTTAAGAGTCAAGTATTAAGTGTTAACTTTACAGTAATAACTACCTATTGGTTTTGTATTTTATTATTTTAAGTAAATAAGTAATAACTAGATGTCTAAGTATTTTAGTTCATAGGTACTGTACATTTTTGTTTGTTTTTATATGAATGAATAGATTATTAGTAAGTTACCTAGTGTTATTTTTCATTTATAGGATATAACCAATTTATTTGTATAAAGATGTTAAGTCTAGTTAAACACTCTGTTAACAATTTAAACAAATGGTGTTGGTGTACAAAGACTATGACCGTGCGAGGTTTAAACTCTTGGACTGGTGGTAAAAAATACCTCGGATTCACGTATTATCCTAGGTAAGGTTTTAAATTGTGTTGTTTTAAAATTGCTTTATTTGTATTTTTTACAAATGGTTTCAGAGAAGGTGAAGTGGACCCGCCATATACAGCAACAAAATTATTCATGGTTCAGAGAGTTAAACGTTATTTATATAATCCGTATTGGCAAAAAAAAATTTTGACCGATATGGGCTTAGATCATAAAGTAATATATTCTTATTAAATCAGTTTTATACAATTCAGATTCCTTATTACTTGAAACAAACTATTATAATATTATAGTCTGAAAGTGTTATCGGTACTGTGATTGTATAATATAGAATCATCCACATTTTACTCATAACTACATTATTAAGTAATTAAAAAAATATTTAAATATTTATTATAATTTTTAATTCATACATACATGTCGGTTTTATAGATTCAATGATGAAAAATGAAACTAACATAATTTAAAACATTCACAAAAATATTGAATATTAATTTATTGTAATCAGCCTTATTTTTGTAAAAATTTAAAAAAAAAATCTTTTATTCATTTTGCGCTGTGTCTAGACTCTAGAGTCTATAGCACCAAGCGCCCGGTCACACTATTATAAATATTATAAATATTTGGTACTGACTACTGGGCGCTCAGTCGCTTTGGGTAGAATCGGGCCCTTCAATTTGAATATATAATTTTAATTCATTTATTATTAATACTTAAATTGTTTATTTGGTTTAAGTCTAATAATAACTTTCAGCCTTTATAAGTATAAAGCCTTTTAGTTGTATTATCTTATACAGTCTGTACTAATCCATCTATACAAGTTTATCTTTACATTATATCATTTTAGTTCATCATCTGAGTGTTGTTTGTGTTTAAAAGTATGTAATAATACAAGGCTTAAGACTGAAAGATTATTGACGACACCTAGAGCTTTCAATAACTTAAGTAGGACAGAACATAAAAATGTAATCATTAATTGGATAACAAACAATTGAAAACAAATAAAAATTACTTATTGAGCAAAGAGAAAATTAAAAATATTGGTTAGATTTTATGAATTTTTCTATATTGTTGTGTAATATGTGATAGGGATAACTATTAACTATTTTAAACTAAAAAATTACGAATTACTCAACAATGTTGTTCTGTCTCGTGAAGTTTGAACTGGGGCAGTGTGCACCGAGTGCCCAGTTACCGAATATTTATCCGGGTGCTCGGTGCTCTAGATTTATCGTTAATTTTATTTCTCAACATATTTATTTTTATTTTTTAGATATTTTATTGAAAATATATTTTTTTGTTTTAGGGTAGTGATATAGCTATTGTAAAAAATACACCAGAAATGAATGCACGATTGTGGAAAGTTAAACATTTAATAAAAATAACACCAATACAAACACCTGATGGATTACCAGAAAAAGAAGAATATTGGGGTACACATTTAGATACTGAAGGTGTCTTTAGGATTTCAAAGAAACTTTTACCTGATAGTAAGCGATTAGAAGCTACTGAAGACTTTGAAAAATTGGCCAATCGAGTAGATAAAGATACAGTAGAAAAAAACTGTCGTAACAAGTGGTTGAATCCGTGGTCAACTATTGTATAGTTTGCATTTAATACTCTTAGTAGTAATGTAAAATACCTAAGTATAGTTTATTATCGATTAATTTTTTTAAATTTATTTAGTTCATTTAAAAAGCATATTATTTTGTTGGAATAAACATTATTTTATTTTGGTACTATTGCTTATTCTATAAGCAAAGAACAATATGCTATAGCTTTGGTATCACCCAAAATATTTTGAAATATATATCATGTATCTTTTTTTTATTTATTAAGATTTTATCATAAAATGATTGTATCTCGAAACATTAACATATGTATTGACATATGACACATGTCTTTAAAATGCTGAAATGAATAGTTTTTAATCTTTGGATTACAAAAAAAAAAATTGCTTTTATCCAACTGGTTTTGTATGAAAATTCAATTGTCCTTAATTTTTTTTATTTTATAAAAATTAAGCTCAAATTCTTAATGATAAAGGTGTAAATACTTAAAAGTATATAAATTAAAACTTTTAGTTAGTTAATAGTTTTAAATGTAATAAACAGAATTAACTCTTGGTTTTGTACATTCTTAGTTGTCGATCTCTCTGTGCACTAAGTGAACAAAATATATATTGTAGAAGGGTGAATAATACATAACTTCTTTTAGAACACATTTGTTCATATTTCTACATTTAAAGTTTTTTAGATCACATGGAATTTGTTCTTGTTTTTCATGCCATATTTTTTAACTTAGGTTAAAACTTTATAAACAATTTTAGTAAAATTATTTTAATTATGTACCTGCTTTATTTAAATTTTTAAATTTTTCTATTGGAAATTTTAACTTAAAATTACTTAAATGAATAAATATTGACGTAGCTTCTATTATATTTTTTGAAAACTGAAATCATACTTTCGATTTTAAGTAGAACACAGTTTTTACAATTATAAGTTTGTTAATAGGTCAATTCACTCTAATTCTTAAACTAAAAATGATCCACCTAGGGTAAATTTGCTATGTTATGCACTTTTAACAATAAATGTCAGTGTTATGTCTTCTTAAGAGGACGCTACACCCGCATTTGTTGTCTCCGTCTTACAAACGTAGAACATAGCAAAAACATGTTTTGCGCGGGAAAGAACCGAGAAAGCTACAGTCATAATTAAGAAACGAAATTTTCACCACATAAAAAGGAGAACTTTGGCTGTGAAATATCGTTTTTATTTTTTCGATATCGGAAGTTCAAAAAAAGTTATTTAAGTTTGAAAAATACAAAAACAAATGTATTTTGAAACAATACCAACCTACCTTACCAACTTGTTACACAAGGAAAACCCACAAATCAGTACATTAAATTCAACTTCTATTTCTAAGTATAGGTGTATTACAATAAGTCATTGGTTTTTCTATTATTAGGTAGGCGCTTAACTTATATAGAGTAGGAATGTAGGATGAAATAATTTTTCCAGAACGTGGTATATAATATTATTATGCACATAGATTCATGGCAATAAAAGCTCAAAATTAGGTACCTAGGTAGTTAAAATATTTTGAAAATGGCATTGTGTACCTACAGAGACTAATCATCAGCAAATACATAAAATATATTTTTTTTTCCAATATCTATATCCATCAGAAATAAATTAACTAAAATACAATTTTTAAATAGCTTAAAATCATAGAAAATTAATTATAATACATACAATTCAAATTTGTATATTAATGTATGCTGCATAGGCGGAGATCTTGTGAAATATTAAGGGGGGCTCAAATATTTGATGACAAACAGACCCATGGGGGCATTGCCCCCACACCCCCAACAAACTAATTTTTACATTAGATCACTCATAAAAAATTGTTCTCGTTGACTCTTTATCATAACAACTTAAATAGTTACAAACATAAAAAAAAGAATNCAAACATTTACACAACAGCAACAATTTGTATCTGCAGATAACAATGAGTTCACTTGTCCAAGTCCAGTCCAGCCTCCAAAAGGAAAAAAACGAAAAAATGTAGCTAGTACAGACTCCAGAATTGATGAAGCATTTGACATTTTAAAGAAATCTGCTTCGAACATCGAATTAAATCAACAATCTCCCGATGAGTGTACTACTTATGGAACTTATATCGGAAACAAACTTCGAAATTACACTCCAAAAACAAAATCATTTGTTCAGTATTACTTCAACAATATTCTTTTTGAAGCAGATATGGGAAGATTTGATGGGAACGAAAGTAATATAAGTTCATCTTTACCAACAAGTTATAGTAATCTACCACCAACAACACATACTTCAAGTCAAACTTCTTCTCCTAATTTTATTTATCAAAATTTGCCACAAGCACAACCATCTACATCAAACTCAGTTGATTTCAATCCAATATTTGAAACATCAGATGGGTCTTCTTTAGAATCAACCTACCTAGGTTAGGTAGCTACTTATTTTAATTTTAATGGAAAAGTTTTTATTCTTTGTTTTTATTTTAATTTTATGAAAAAATATGTTTTTTTAATTTTAATTTTATGAAAAAGTATGTTTTTTATGTTTTTTATGTTTATATAATGTTTTAATATGAGTGAAGAATAATACATTGTTACGTTTTATTATTAAGAAAAATATACTGTTATTCATAACACATTATTATTTATTACCTATGCATTACTTACTTTTACATATTCCTTTAAGACTTCAACAACTGCCATGCAGACTTCAGGAATTATACATGAAATTATTTGTTTTGAAATGCCGAATAAATATTGTAAGCTGCTATATGAATCTCCGGTGGCAAGAAATCTCAGCGTAACAGCTAGCCTAACTGTTACCGAAATAGCTGGACGCATATTCGTATCTTGCTTGATTACTTTTGGCCCGATGAGATTAATAATTTTTTCAAAATCAGCTGATGACATTCTTGTAAAATTTTGAAAATGGAAACTGTGTACATCAGACTGCATACTATTTAACAAATTAGCTCCTCTATTTTCATTATCGATGTAAAGTTTTGATCTCCAAAGACGTCTTTTACGTCGAACTTTTTTTTCTTTGATTTTCATGAGTTCATGCATTACAATAAATGCTGCACTTGCAACTTGTAAATTATTACTCATAATTCACCAATAAAAATATAATAATAAATTAATAATTGTTATACTTGAAAAATTGTTTGTAACACTTTTTTGCATTTAAACCAAGACACAACGTTTCGATACTAAAGTATGTTAACAACTGTACTCGACTCTGGAATGGGCCCGAACAGCTACGCATAGTGTATTTTGTGCGTCGCATGGTGTCCACACGAACAAACAGAATTCGTCCGATTATCCGAATGCTCATACGTACTCGTTCGCGTTCGAGTAAGCTCACTTCGAACGTCGCACAATGTTCGCTCGTGTGTACGCACCTTAGATAAAGCCGTGATTAGAGCGGTGACAAATATTAATAGTGAACGGTTACAAACAAAAGTTAGGTAACCGGTGGTAGGGTTGATATTCGTTGATAATCGATTGATAATAATAGCCAATTCCCCAAGGTTTATAGATTATGTAACTTTTAAAAACGACGGCTTGTGTACGGTTGTGTATCAAAAATTACATGTAGCCATGTAGGGCATATGTAATAGAAATGAGTTACCTCAAATTAATTTAAACGCAAATGATAAATTTAATATTTCCAAGAAATTATCATTAGGTGTACCACGTAATATTCTATTAGGGCAATACGAATCAACATGCAATCAGGAAATAAGCAGTCGTATTAATTTATTAAATTATAATGATGTGACGAATATTGCAAAGCAGTTTATAATCTTAACGAACCTTTTCCTAAATTATTTGATGAAGATTCTAAAAATATTGCCAGTTTTGTCTTGAAGAACAACAATTCAATACTTTTTTTCCAAAAAAAGAAGGAATCGAAGATGATCAGTTTCCAACATTCAAGAAGGACGATTTTGCATGGCGTAAAAATTTGTGCAAAATAAAAAATAAAGAAAAGAAAGAAATCGTCATTAAAATTCTTTATGATCTATCTACTGAATTAGAATATATAGGGACACTTTAAAACAAACAACACACTTTTCTGTCGAACGATGATGACGATCTTCAACATTTTTTGGATTATTTTTTAAAAATTATGGCCAAAATCAACAGTTTTGGGCATACTGTTACAGTCAGTATTCTGTCTGTAACACAAATATGAATTTAGAAAGTTTCCATAGAGTTTTAAAAGAAAAAATTAAGAGTAGATCAAAAGTTAAAAGCGTGTTCGATTGTTTGTGTTGCTTGGAAAAATATTTAGTTATGAAAGAAAATGATGTACAAAAAAAAAAACAAATACGTTTTAAACGCACCAATAAATTGAAATGTCTTCGTGCAAATCATAAGAAGATTGAAAAACAAAGAGAATCAAAAAATATAGTTATAAATTCATTAGACTAAAACTATTGGTATGTTCAATCGTTCATTAATGAAAAAATTATGTACAATGTACTTAAAAGAGTGTACGTTGTATGAAGATGAGATATGTTTACTTCCTTGCACAAAATGTAATTCGTGTTTTCATGATTACACGTGTAATTGCCTGGACCATTAAATTAGAAATAACACGTGCAAGCATATTCACGCCGTTGCAATGAACCTCCTTAGGCCAAAAAACGACAGCCAATGTAGAGAAACAATAAAAAGTAAAAGCACACATAATATAGTATACCTACAGACAAAAATGGCATGTAAAGATGATGAACCGATAATGGATACAACACGTAAAGACGAGGAAACTCAACTACATCACCATAAAGATGGTAATAAGGATTAATTGAATTAAAAAATGCTTATTTTGTTTACATTTTCCATTTTTTTTTCAGTTATTTTATTACATAACTTAAGACAAAAAATATTACAAGTAGTTGAGCAATTATTACAGAAGATTAAATTATTAGAACTACTACAACACATACCTAAATAAAAAATTGATTGCATCCATTCATGTTTCCATCGCTGCTTCAAACACTGAAACTGTACCTTTGAAAAAAAAATCGGAAAGGGGTAAAATGAAACCCCAAAAGAGAATTTTGAACGTAGGTCTACATCGAATTTGTATTCCAATACATTCATATGGTACTATATATCACTGTTATGTTATTAGTTATGTTTTTTTGTATTACAGGTGCCAATAAACAAGGCAAATGAAGAAAACTAAATTTACTAAATTTCAGAATTTTTTAGTGGATAATTTGTGATTAGGTAATTATTTGTAATTATTATTATTATTATTATTATTGCTATTTATTATTATTATTTTTAATTGGTTATTAACTACTATTATTTTTGTAGGACTTTTTAGGCAAGTGCCGAATTATTTAGATATAAGTTATAAAAATAAAATTTTTATATATAAGTTTATTACAATGCTCAATTTCATTATTTGCTTGTATTAATAATAATGATTATGATATTTAAATTCACGTGGTTATTAATAAGGCTGAAATTCCTATTAGTTGTCCAACAATGATTAAAGAATATAAGTATATAACTCTAAGATGGGTGTTGTCGATTTAGCTGATAGGTATGCTATTATCTTTATATCGTACTAGTCTAAAATCTCACCGTTGGTATTTGGCTGTACTTTCACAGTTATTGGACATATCTGTAAACAATACGTGGTTATTATACTAGCGCGAATTTGAAGAATTAAATAATGATTTAAATGTTAAATATATGACATTAAAACAATTTAAAAATTCTTATAACTCTAATATGTTAAATACTGTTACGTGTTAACAATTAAATTATTGTCTATCACTACTGGTATACGTTGTGTATTTGTGTATCCGTAGTGATAGATCTGAACTAAACGGGGGAAGGTGAGAGGATTTGGATGTTCGACAAGACAATTAGTTATACCGAGTATAATTTAACGTATGTTTAAAATGTAAAGCAAAATGCAATATAAAATATTTTAACGTATATTTAAAATGTAAAACAAAATGTAATAATATAAAATATTTTACTTTACCGATGACCTGGCAGCACACAGACAATACACAGAGCAATATCTCAATATTACAATATCTATCATCTATGGCAAAAAAGCCAATCGTCGTCACTCATCGGAGACGATTCACAATTCTAACAATTTCATTGAACAAAAGAGAAATGTGTAAGGCAACAATAAACATTTGCTCACATATTTCATTCTACTCAAGTAATTTGTATAATAAATCTCAATTTTTTCAGTTCGGGTTTAGATGAAGAAAGATCTTTCCTCGATATGGCGTCTGCACTTCAGATATGTCCTTGCAGCTATATATTACCCGAAGAGTCGAGGTTTACGTAAGTTTGATCACCTATTCTTTTGGGGCTTACATACTTTACTTTTTAGTCTCAAAATTAAAAATTTATTGCCACAGACAATTTGCTACCCGGGTGAAGTAGGGGCATATTTTTTGTTCCCGAGCGCGCAACACAAAAAAATACGCTAGCCCAAACGACGCGGGACGACGGCATATCCAGGTCGCAGAATAATAATATTTTTATACAATTAAATAGATATAAATAGTGTTGTACATATTAATCATACTACAGTAGTACAGTACACGGGAGTTCTTATGTCCCTCAAATTTCAACAATTTTTATTTTTAGTTTTTATAAATGTTAAGTAATATATGAATATTACTATGCCGTCTGCTTGTGGTTGAACGGCGAATTAATGTGACGCCGTCGTATATCAAACATCAAATGATTTTATAAAGCTGGGAAAGTCGTTCTGCTGATTATTGAATATCCATCGGAAATTAAATAAGGAAATTTTAAATTTTAAATAATCTCGAATAGCTTAAAATGTACCTAACCAATGCACTCAAAATTAATACAAAAAATATTAATTATTAATTTCGTGCTCGACAGTATTCAGAGAAAAGATTTAACTTGGAATTTTACAAACTATAGTTAGTATAGTCGGTAATCGGTATACGGTAAATGTGATGCATTGGGCACTGAATATCTTAATGTTAAATCTAAAAAGTAGCAATCACATTTATTTACAATAAGATTTTTATTTAATAACTCATACAAAAAATATGCTTGTGCTTCGAATATTCAAACACCACATTTGTTAATTGTTAGATTAAAAATTAAAATATTAGGTACTTTATATATTGTAGTAATTTAAATTTTAAAATTATTAACTATTTTGGTTATTGTCATACCTCATTTCATTATCTTAATGATCAAATCTGAAACACGGATCTCCTCGATATAAAAATTTGTAATATACTATATATATCTATGGTTTTATCATATTGACGTAGTATATAAATTATAATGCAATCCGTGGCGATTGTCGAAGTAGTTGCAAAGACGCAATTGATCTAAAATTTCAGTTAGCAAAGCTGCAGACATGAACAAGAAATACGTACGGTTTTTTTTTCATAATAAATCTCAATATTTTCAGACTTAAGTTCAGTCGTAT